TGGTTTCAAAAACACAAAGTTTGTTTTCTCAGTCATCCAGGTACATCCACTCCCCTCAACACCCCCAGCCCCTGCCTCCTGGCCCCCCACACCTACACCTCTCCTCTCAACCTGGCCTCCCACAGCCTTTTCATCAGCAACAACCCCAGCAGCCTGGCCCACCCCCAAATCGTTGGACGATAATAATTTGTCCATTACAAAAATATCACAAACCACTGGAAGGGTTTTAAGGAAACTATAAGAAATTAATCTTTGGATGTACATCTACAGCAGTTGATTGTTGTGGTAAACTATTTAAGCTAGCTGCCACAGATAACCAACTTTAAAAACACCAAAATACCTAGAACTTATTTTTACTAATATTGAGCTCAAATTTGGCGAGAGTCATCCCCAACACATTCTAACCACTAACAGGTTATACAAGAAAAATGTTCTATTAATTATGTAGTCAGCTCATCTGTTTATCAAAATATCTCATGAACCACTGGGCGTTTTGTATAACCAATTACCTTTTGGAGTTGATCCAATCCAACGTGGGCTAACTCGGCTGACAGACATTAGCCAATAAAAATAGCTACAACTCAAATAATTATAAATAATCTTGGTCTAAAACTGATCTGAAAGATAGTGGTCTATATGCAATATTTTAATAATTCTAGGCCTTTTATTTATGTATTTAAATCTCTCAAATAAATTGGTATTTTAAAGCCATTTAGCAGGTTTTCAGATGCAAAGTGAAATGGTCAAGTTTTGACATTTTTTAGAGATGTATTTGAAAATGTTTAGATGATGTATTGTAAAACACACGTGGCACGTTATTATTCATATTTGTCGTTTATCGCAGCAACATCTTTTGCCGTCTAATGTCTGAAATGGCCAATTTTAGCTCTGATTTGTAAATGTTGTAGCTGTTCTGTTGTGATATGCTCCTCTCAAAGGGCTGTCTGCTGTAAATAATAAGCCAAATGGTAAAAAATGGCGGAGCGCACATGCAAATATTCATTCTTATTTAGAGGTTTGCCACTATTTTCACTTGGCATACATAATGCAAATATTTCTATGTGATCTAAAAAAGTGTTAGTCGCACTTTAGATTGATTGATTACTTTATTCATCAGACTTGTAGTCCACAAAAGCATGACAC